CAGCAGAGCAAACAGACAGCTCACAGAATAATAGAAAAGACTTACCAGCTGTCAAGGGACTATATACAGAATCTGTAAAGCCTTGAAATGAATAAACATACACATACAGACACACACACACTCACACATACTCGCACTCTCTCTCTCTCACACACACACACAGACAAATTGTCACTCAACAAAAAGGTTAATAAAATGAACAGATAATTCTCAAAAAAGAAATATAAATGGCCAATGATTTTTTAAAAATGATCAGCATTTCTAGTTATTGGATGAATACACATTAAAAGTATTATACATGCTATCTCACCTGGGTTACAATGGTCATCATCAGGAAATCTGACATCCTAACATTTGCATTGTAATAAATCAAGTCATGCATTGTCCCACCATATCAACACAAAGTGGGAAACTGGGACTTTTATTTGTAGGGAAACTGGATAAGGTCCAGGCAGTTTAAGTTACTTGTTAAGGTTATAAAATAGCACATATTAAGAAAAACCTAATGCAAGATCTCTGATATTCAAGATGTATGTTTAATTAGGAAACATACATACTTAAAAAATTAGAATAGTTAAATGTCTACAAATTGCTTTGTTTCTTAAAAGACTTTCCAAAAGCTTAATTAAAACTTACTGTTTATTTTCATTCAAATTGTAAACATTGACAGAGAATCACGGAAAAGCTTGGAAATTATAGATTCTATCAAAAAGCAATGCCTGTTTTCTTTGCTTTCTTCTTCCAGATAATTTTCTGTTTCTCACAATTATCTGTACATTCTGGTTGCTCACATCTATCCAAACCCACTGAATTTGAAATGAAAGCCAGGAAAAGAGATTGGAGCTAGTAAATACCGAGTACAGGTTCTGAGCTTTAACTGAAGCATGAGTCTGAGTCAGTGACTCTCCTGAGAGAGTAGCTTCAGAGACAGAATCCTCAGCTTTTCTTCCTTGGTAGCTAGAGATGCTTTAAAGAGAAGATGTTAGTTCTTTGCTAATGAAATTAACAGACATAACCAATATTCATATAAAATCGTTGTAAGGGAAGGAAAGCGATGGGAGGGGCTGTGAAGGAATAAGTTAATCCAGGCATGACAGTTGTACAGGGCAGCTAAGCAGAGAGTAGTAGTAACTTTTAAAGAAAATATGACTTGGTTCTTTGCTTTTTCCAGAGGTCTCCTGTAGGCCAGACGTTACAGTTCTAAAATGACATAAGATTACTTCATGAATAATTTGTATTCTAATGTCATGAACCTCAATTGCCAAGTTACACAGAACTTCCCGGCATAAAATCCAGGTCTACACTTTGTTGTGTACAACAGGAAAAGATAAGGGATGTACACCATCCAGGGGATTTGAATGAACAGTAGATGTTCAGTAGGCAGTTCACATCCTTGAGCCACCTGTGCCATGCTTAGTCTCTTCCAGAGTTCACCAGTTATTCTTGCTTCATATACAGTTTATTTTACAAAGCGCAATTCACAAGGCAACATGAAGTTGTGCTGAAGAAAACTGTCCCAGTCTTGAATGACAAATGACTTCCTAACCAATGCTGTTTCTACGGGCCTTTTCTCAGCGGATGTATGGAGCCAAACCCATTTCAGGCATGTGAGACCTTAGCACCTTGGAGAAATAAAGTATGGGCTTGCTCTTGTGACACAGCCATGACTTAGGATTGGTCCAGCAGGAAATGTCTGGAATTCACGGAAGTTCAGAAACAGACTCGGGTTTAATGATACGGTCTGCACATGTGCAGAAAGAGACAGCCATATTTCTTCTGCCCTTACCACCTATTCTTAACTTATCTTTCCCCTTCGACATGCCAGGAAGACTTAGCTTGTACAGTTCAGTGGAAATCAAATTTTTGAAGTGCATTTTTGTAACTCTAAGTTAGTGACTTTCCTACTTACTCTTATTTTCTTCAGTTGAAATAAAATTTCTCTGCAAAAAGTTTTATGGCAATTCAACATTTAAGCTTTGTAATACTTCCTTTTATTTTCCCAAGTAGGAAATAAGTTAATGCAGGCTGAAGATAGTGAGAGAAATTTTTTCTGAATACCCTGAAATATCCTTTCTTAAGCAGTTTTCATTATCTGCAAAGAAAGTGTTCAAGAACACCATTGTGAGCACCCTCGAGGTGCAGTCAGGAAAGCCTGTGCACTCAGTTCAACTGAGTCAGGGAGATGCCAGCAAGGGAGGCAAAGGAAGGAACGTTATCTTCTTGAATCCACAGGAATTAACTTTTAGTTCTACACATGGCTACTTTAAACATTTAAAAGGCTGTTTGTGAAGAAAATGTCTATTTTTCTGTCCTTAAATTATTCAAAACTTTCTTCAAAATTTCTTTTGGTACCCAGCACTCAGTTTAGAAGAAAAAAAATCACTGAAAGTATAAATAATGTGAGGAATCCTTTCAAGTTCATTATGGAAAAATACCCCCACATGCCTCTTAGATAAAAAGATTACATGGTCCCTAGTCAGGGGGTTCTTAGACCTTCCTCTCTCTTTGACTCTCAGTGATCAATAGTTCTGGAAGCTTATGTAAAAGCCTGCAAAGGAAGCCTGTTTGAAAGACAAAGCTGAGCAACTTTGAATTTGCAAAAAGTACATGAATGTAACCTAAATAAAAGGTTAATGGAAAACAATGGAAAGTTTCAACAGGACTAAATTGTGTTCCAAGAAAGTACAAGTTAAGATAACTGCCTGTAGCCTTTTTTACAGTCTTGTAAAACACAACTGCAACCTACTGCAATGACTGTTACAGAAAGGCCATTTACACTATATTTGCTTTTCAACAAAATCTCCTTATTTTGGATCTTTAACATATATTTGGTCTTTAACAAGGTCAGTGGTCCATATTGAATGATGCAAAGGTGTTTTCCAGCACTAATTATACTCTTCATAAAGCAGGAATGGATATTTAAGAAAAATTTTGTCCTGCACTAGAAAAACTGAAAATAAAATTCATGTGAGGCAAATTTCTCACATGTTTTTCCAGCTTTACTTTCCTTCTGTTCTACTTCATTCCCTCCCCCTCCCTCTTTACATAATATGAATGCTGTGACTTATTGTTTATGAATTTTTATGGTTTGTCTATGTAATAATAGCTCATTTACTTCTTTGCATTTTCAGACTTGAACTTTTCCAGCTACAGTGATCACTATCCCCATTTAAAGCTATGTGCCTTGCTAGATTGATTCAGACCTCCTGCTTAAAATGGGTACTCTTTCGTGGTACTATATGAACTATATGAACAGCAGATAACCTTGAAGTCTGTTCATTCCCAGGACACATTAAACTGTCTATGTTAAATGATATAAAGAAAGCTAAAACCCTATAATCCCTTCCCACATGACAAGTTAGGTGTAACATGTAAATTAGGAGATAACTTACCAGATGAACACTTTACCTGCAATGCATTGTTTTCCAAGACATATTGGAGAATGTGTCCTCACCTGTGTTTCTTTTCCATACACCAAACACCTTCTCCAACACAGAATGTCAGAACAAAAGTGCTTTTTTTTCAAGTGTGGCAAACTTCAAAATCCTCTTTCCCTACTGATTGCAAGGTACATGCAGAATATGCTTATCTTAAACATGAATAGACATAAAATACCCCCCATGTCTGTCTATAAAATTTCTATTCTGCCTCTACCCATAATGGGAATAACTATATCTCCACAAAATAAATTGTGTTGCTATGAAGTTTTTGTACCTTAATTTCTTGATATTTTAATTTCTTGCTGCATTCAGCTGTAGGCGACTACAGCCACAATAGGGTTAAGTTTTTGTGGCAGGAAAGGAATCAGCCAAGCACAAACTCTTAACTTCTATGATGAAAAGACATAAGCTTCATTGGCTTTTAGGCAGCACTGTAACATTAATGCATATTTCCAATTAATACTGAAGAACAGGAAAAATAATGGAAATATTTTACATTATTCTGTGTTTTTGATGAAAAATAAATTTTAAGACGTAAGCTCATTTACTAATGGTTAGATTTGACAAGAACTGACAAGAGTTTCTAGGTTTTTGTTTGTTTGTTAAGATTCTTAATGTTAAAAATACAGTATATATCTCACGCTTTACCAAGGCAAATGACTAGGCTTGTTCCAAGTTCTGAAATTTACTGGTATTTTTTGTGTTTTCTTTTGCTTTGATTTTGTGCTTAAAATAATATTCTTTACTCGTGCAGTCCTACAGGCTATTATGTAATTACTATTATGCATAAGAACCTGAGAAAAACAAAAATAAATCTTGTAAAGAGAACCTTGATGATTTGTAAAGTACCTCCCCCACCCGAAATACTGTGAGAGGGAGGCAAAGCAAGCGATGAGTATAAGAATAAAAATGACGATTCACATTACATGATAGACTTTTCATTCTGCAACATTCAGTATACGACTTGAGTACTTTTTGTGCCTTCCATTTGCCAGCTGGAGTGAACCGGTGCCTGCACGGATCTCCTGAGCTGCAAGCTGCTCACAATACATTCTGGTGAAATAATAGCACGTGATCGCTCTAGTTGGAGCAGTTAATAACTGGTTAAGCAGCATTTCCCTCCAAGGGCTGTTTTCATCGGCCTAAAGCAGTCACTCCCAACCCATCCCATCCCCCCTCCCGCTTTAACAATGCCTCAACTTCCTTCTCAAATCCCTCCTTCCTATCCCTTAGCAAACGCGGAGACCCTATATTTGTCTAGTCCCCTTTGCTCAAAGCCAGCTGATCTAGCGAAGCCCGAGCCGGCTGATGGGGATAAAGGAGGACTAGAGCGCAGAGGTCTGGCAGGGACCTCTGGCCCCCAGGTGCGCAGTCCTGGCACGCACAGAGTTAAAGGCATCATCGCAGCCATTAGAGGCAAAGTTGGACGCTGCGCGAGCCCAGTCCGCGTCGCCCGGCGCCGGCTCCACTCGCGGCCGGCTCGCTGGGCGTGGGGAGGGCGGCGAGCACGCAAGCCGAGCGACTGACGTGGGATAAGCTGCCAGGTAGCGGAAGCAGCCAGCCGCTGGAGGAGACACTTTGCAGCGTCGCAGCTCGGGTCTGCGCCTGAAGCCTCCGGATCCCAGCCAGCTTGGTCCAACCCTAGTCAGTCGCAATCCCTTGTGCCCAAGCCAATCTTCGCTGGGAGCGGCAGCATGCATGCAGTGCCGTGCCCAGGGCTCTGAAAGCAGCCCGCGGACGCGCTTGCTTGCTTGTCTTTTCAGGTTTTGGGGCTCTTGGTTACACGGATGTGTCTCCCTCCCTTGGCATGATGGGTTTCTTTTTGGCATCTGTTGGATTTGCGTTCTTTTCCGTGTTATATATACAACAAGGGCTTTCTTCTCAAGGTAAGTCCGTTGCCTGTGTAGTATGTATGTGATGGTGTGTGTGTGTTGTACCAACTAGAAGAATGGAGCTGTCTAGCTGGAGAGCGGCTCAAACCACGCCAACAGTGGGTTTCTGTAGTGTTTGGCTTGGCTTTTTTTTCCTTCAAAGTTTATTAAATCGCAAGTAAACCAGGTTTCAAACAAAATCTAGTAGATGCCAGACTAGCAGTGGGATGAACACATACACAGATACACAGGTGTGTGTGTGTGTGTGTGTGTGTGTGTGTATGTGTGTGTGTGTGTGTGTTCCATGTGCATGAACAGGGCAACCGCTCATGCACACGCAATTATTACCAATACAGAGCTGCGGGTGGGAAGGGGCTTCTCTCTGCTAGTATTCCCTGTAGGCAGGAAGCTTTAGTTCCCTTCTGTGGTCCCTGCGACTTCTTCCCCATAGGGAACCTACAAGGAGGAACTAATTGCAGCAGAAGCAGCAGCTGCCTGCTGGGCCGGGTTGTTCAGGACTTTGCAGGCTGCGGTGGTTGCTTCAGCACCATGAGCAGACCTCAGCTTTTACCTCCTGAAGACTGCATCACTTCTCCAAACAAAAATGACTCCCACTCGGCTGGCTGATGTGAGCAGAAAACCCTGTTCAGATAGGCTGCCTTCTGATAGTGTCCTTTTCCTTGAAACCTAATCAGTTCCCTTTGGGATTTCATAAAATAGTGAAAAGAGACAGCTAGATCCACCCTCTTTAAGAAATGAGGAGAAAGTAGCTGTAACCATTCTTGCCATCCTTTCTACGACCCTCTTTCCGTATGTGAGCCTTGTTGTTGTGCCCCTCTATCAGCTATGAATAGAAGGCTCCTTCTAGAGAGCCATCAGCTCTTTGCAAAGTGTCCCTTAGACAGGCTAAGAACAAGCATCTAGTTAGCAAGAAAAACATCACCCCATGTTCAAGGAAGGCCTCTAAGGAGGAGAGGACATCTTATTTTTATGACTTTCACATGGATCTCTTAATCTTACAAGCTGGCAGTGTCAAGGTTAGCAAAAGGGCTAGACGGAATCTCTGTAGTGTCTTTCAAATAATCTTTGATCTGAACTAAACATGTATGTGTGATTTTTATAGGCCCTGACGTATGTTGGTTTAAAATGGCTTGAAGGGAACAAATGTGAAGGTTGCCTTGCAGAGAAGAAACAAGCCTCTTAGGTAGTGCCCAACTTGTTTCACTGCTTGGGCTCCAGAACAAAATTGCTGACCACTATTTTCACAAATTAGAGTGTGGGTTTTGACATATACTTACTGCCTACTTCTAGCATGAAACATCTTGGTTAGTTGTAGATGGTTTAGAAACTTAAAAATCCAGAAGCCTTCTCATACAGCAACTGGACAACCCATCTAAAATTGCACCTTCGTGGATCTCTCAGTAAGTTTAAGGAAATGCTGCAATCTGACAAAAGATGCTTAGATATAACTCTGGGCAGCTTGACTAGGGAGATATTGGCAAGCTTGTTAACCTTCCCACTATCTGGACTTGCTCAACAGCAAAGTGATGTAGGCATGATATCAAGAACAAGGCACTCAGAGGCAAAGCAGTTGGGAGAGGGAGCCCTGCAGAGATGTCATAAGGGTTGCCATTGCTGTTTTTATTTTCTCCTTTAAAGGCCAAGCAAAGAAAAAACTTGCATCGAGTTCTCCCAGAAAGAGACACTGACAAAGCTGGTGTATATAGACACACCAAAATAATGCATTTTTGTCTTGCAGCAAAATTTACCGAGTTTCCGAGGAACGTGACTGCAACCGAGGGACAAAATGTGGAAATGTCTTGTGCTTTCCAAAGTGGCTCTGCTTCAGTGTACCTGGAGATTCAGTGGTGGTTCCTTCGGGGACCAGAGGACCTGGAGCATGGGACCGAGGCAGCCAGCTCTCAGGTAGCCATGGCTTATAGCTCACAGAACCCTTGCAGGTCACTTTCTTAGTTCTGTGCATGTCTAACCAGCTCCAGAGCCCAGGGTACTGCCCCTGTGTCCAAGGGAACCTTCCCTGCTCTATGAGAGTAAGAACGGGGTGGAATTTGTCCTGGTTACAGTAAGTTAAAAGCACCTAGGAAGTCATACTAGCAGGGACATTCACGATTTAGGCTGGAATTAACCAGCTCTTAATACCCAGTTTTATGGAGCTGTCCAAACTGGCTATGTATCACTGGTACAGACCAGGGTCCCTTACTCCACCAGCCTTCTGTTTCCCCAACATCAAGGGGAGTCATCCTTCTTCTAGGTTAGTTCTCTCTGTCTCTCTCTCTTCCTTTTCTTATTCTCCCCCTTTCTCCTTTTCACCCCACCTCTCTCTCTTTCTCTCTCTTTCTCTCTCTCTCTCTCTCTCTCTCTCTCTCTCTCTCTCTCTCTCTCTCACACACACACACACACACACACACAGGGGGGATGGCAGAAAAGGAGATTGGGGACAGGAGAGGCAGCGAGGGAAGGAGAAAGGGGAAGAAAAATGAGGAGAGGAAGAGATGGGGTAGGCATCAGAAAAGCAGGGAGAGGCCCTGGACAGGAGATGAGGAAACGGGAGAAAACAAGAACAGAAGGAAAACGTAAAGAAGCTAAAAGAATAGCGCCTTTAAGAGTAGGAAAGGGAGACTCACAAAGCAAAAGAGGACTCTGACGAGAAAGTCTGTTGAAGAGAACCTGGGGACTGGTCAGCAGCCAGGGCAAAGATGCAGAAATGTGTCCAGAAAACTTCCAGCCACACTCCTGTCCTCGCCTGGGTTTGCGACCGGGCCCCCATCCTTCCCCTAGTCCACAAGCAGGGCAGGCTGAACTGAGACGGAGAAGAGGTAGCCTCGCCGCTGCTCTAGCCCGTAGCTAGCCAGAGGGAGCTCAGTCTGCGGGGTTCAGGGACCACAGGAACTCTCCAGTGTGTCACTAGCATATAAGAGCCCACGGAGACCTCAGGGACACTCGGGGACACAGGGGACAGAGCAGCCACAGGAGTGCTTGGGGACCACAGAGAATCTCCAGGATGTCGCTTTGACAAGAGGGGACAAGAGGGACCTTAGGGATTCTCTAGGAGAACCGAGATCGCAATCATGCTCGGAGAAGACATGGAGACTCCAGGGACCGCTTGGAATCCGACCAGGGGAGAGGGGGACTTCAGGGATCCTCCAGGGGGAGGGAGGGAGGCAGTCCAGCCTGGCCTCAGGACTGAGTACGGTAGGGACCTCGGTCGTTCTTCTATCTCTTAAATTGCCAGAAAGCTGGGATCTCTCCGAGAGCACGCAGCTGTATCACGGGCCTGGGACTGTAGGACTCGGGAGAGGCTGAGCATTTGCACTCTTCTCCTACAGGTGGAGCTCTTACCCGACAGAGACCCGGACAACGACGGGACCAAGATAAGTGTGAGTGTCACAGGGACGAGCGACAGGGGGCGCATGCTATAGTAAAGGGCCAAGAAGGCCCAAGGCGAACATTAGTACAAGACAGATTTTACATTTAAGTCATTGAGCCTGAAAAAGGAATTTTGTAAATTCTGGATGAGAGGCAGTTGTCTTTTTTTTACCTCATTAAATACCTAAAATTTGAGCCTAATTCAGACTCCATAAATAAAATTGTATGTTTTAATCTTGGAAATAATTCAATTGGTTAGAGTATTAATTTGCTAGCTAATGTGATTACTGCACTGTTTTTCTTAATCTTTTTCACAGTCACCTAAGTTTAACAATTAAGGTCTGCAATACTTCAGTATTAATAATTTTAATAATTCAAAGTAACATGAGTATCTAGTGTTAATAGAAAATAGAAATCTCAGGAAAACAGGAATGAAACAATCTGATGGGACTTTTAAATGTGTGAAACGATATGACTCAATTTGTATATCATTCATAGTTCATATAAAGTATTTATAATCTAGTATTCAAATAAATCACAAAAATATAAAACCAAAGTAGACATAAGTCTACACTTGGTTTTAGGCAAGACTGGCCTACTGACAATATAAAGATGAGGCTACTTTGTGATAATTACAATGGCCATGGCTTCCTTCATCATCCTTCATTTCTGTATTTATAAAATCAATCAAATCTTTAAACTTGACAGATTTATGTGATCTTTCAGTCTGTCAATCATGGATTAACATACGATATATATCAAATTTAACTGTTCTGGTGATAAGTATATATGTATTTTTCTATATCACATGGGTTACATTATATATGTGAGATTATTGTTAATGTAAGATAAAATTACAAGAATAAAGTTGAAATAAGGTTGGAAATTCTATCCAGAAATGGACTCCTTATTCAATGTTTCATTCAGCTGAGTTAGCTAGAGAGGCCAATCCCGTGGTGAAAAATTGACAGGACTCTATCAGGATCTGGAAAGTGTGGATAGCAGGGCCATTCTCGTGCTGCTTAAATTGAGTTTATGACCCCTCAAGCCTATGGATGAGACTGTAGCTCATGATGAATATGATTTGTGCCACGAAGCCATTAAGACCCTTTAATCCCAACATTAGCAAATTTCAGAGTGTGAATGAAATCCTTTGATGAGAAACTTTGTTTTTCACCTGCAATTTTTCAGACAGTGAAAGTCCAAGGCAATGACATCTCCCACAAGCTTCAGATTTCCAAAGTGAGGAAAAAGGATGAAGGCTTATATGAGTGCAGGGTAACTGATGCCAACTACGGGGAGCTACAGGAACACAAGGCCCAGGCCTATCTGAAAGTCAATGCCAACAGCCATGCTCGGAGGATGCAGGCCTTTGAAGCCTCACCCATGTGGCTACAAGACATGAAGCCTCGAAAGAATGTGTCATCAGTGGTTCCCAGCAGTATTCACAGCTCTGCCAACCAACAAACGCACTCCACCTCCAGCCCTCAAGTGGTAGCCAAAATCCCAAAACAAAGTCCACAATCAGGTATGGAAACCCATTTCGAGCCTTTCATTTTACCATTCGCAAACCTCCCACTAAAAGGTCAGTTGAATAGCATAGACAGATTAATGTTAGATGGCTTTTCAAATAGGAGACTGAGTTCGATTGAAAGAAGGAGACGTGAGTTATTGAGAGCAGGAGACTGGACATTCAGAATGAGTTTGCTCCATTAGTCCCTGGCACTGTTTCATATCCAGGGATTTAAGAGCTGGACTCTTTTATTCTCCCCCTTCTTTCTGTATTTATGCATTATAAGTACAATAAATCATGTAATATTGGTTAAATTATAAATGAATGTTCATTTTCTCTACAGATTTATGTATCAATAATGACCCAAATTAAGAGGTTTCCACTTAATCAAAATGGAAATGAAAAAGACTCATCATAATCACCCATATATTTAGTGACCTATGCGTTTACCCAGAACTATTCCCCAAGGGCTTTTGGTTTTGAAGGAGAAACTTCAGCTGCCTGTGATGAAATTGATGGTTATATTGTCAGGAAATGAGGAAGAGGGGAAGTATGTGGTGCAGAGATAAGGTGGCTCCTACAAATGTGCCATGGATGCCAATTGGGAAGCTTAGTCACATGTATCTCGAGTCAGCTGTGCAAGTTAAAGTAATTATGACTGGTGTTAATTTGCACCATCATTCCACCAATGGAAACTCTCTGAACTTCTAACCTTGATATGGGTGGGATCAAGACTGCCTGGATTGAGCAGTTGTGTACAAGATCCTGTTTTCTCAAATGCTTTACCTAACGTGGGGTTAGAGGAACATCCTGTTCTAGCACATATCTGACATACATGAAATCACTTAATGTGGTGATTTGTTGTTCTTTTTTTAATGTGAAGTTTTTCAGAGAGGGAATTCAAAGATAATACTACCCAGCAAAAGCTTCAATTTCTGAAGTGAGGTAGAAGGGAGAGGGTCTGTAAGAATGCAGTGTGTCTGGTAGTAATTATAGGAGATAGAGCAACACAGACCCAGGCCCACTGGAAAGTCATTGGCAATAGCCAATGTACACCTGTAAATCCCTGCTTGTTAATAATGTGTTTTAAAAACTGAATATCTGAGGTTAAAGCACAGTTGTATAGCACCTGATTACTGTGTATAGAGCCCTGGATTCAATCTTCAGCATCATAGAAAAACAATCAATCAATCAATAAAAACTAGTAAAATAATATATGCCAACATGAATTTCTTCTTTAGGCTTTTTATTTGAATAGATGTGATGTAGATTCTGGAGGATGCTTGACTAGGGCCCTGTGCATTTCCATTGCTTTAAACGCTGATGAGACTTTTCCTGTTTTAGTCATGGTAACAGCAATCTGCTAAGTGACGACTCAGCCTTTCTGAAGTCCAGTTTTTGCGGCTTTGTCTCATTTTTTCCCTGTGCTATCTCCTTTCTTTTCCAAATTCAACAACAAAGCCCATAGAGCTAATAATTCTTTGTCGTTGTTGTTGTTGTTGTTGTATGTGGGAGTACACAAATGACTATGTATCAGTTATAAGTTTTAACTATTGTTTTACAGATTTAATGCCTCTTAAGGTTGGGACCCTTTCATCTTCTTTTATATTTTAACACCAAGAGACTAAAACTACCCATAGAATTGCAGAGTGTCCTCAGCAGTCAATTTACAACATAATTAGTGAGAACTCCAAACCCTGAGAACTTAATAGTGTACACAGATTATTCCAAGCTAGTCACCATAAATCCATCTATAGGATAGTCAAATGGAGTAGTTAGTCTGTGTGAATGACTAAAGAGAATGAAGTATTCTGTTTCTAAAATATCTTATTCACCTTATATATAAAATAATGTACTTTAAAAATATCTACTTTATTTTGCTATGTCTCCTAGGGCTCTGATGGAAACTAAATTTTCAAGTAAAGTCACTGCTCATTTTGCACCTTCTCCTTAGGCACAAAATTATTTTTTTCAAAAAATTAAATAAGAGAAGGATATTGGCCACTAAAAGATCTGAACACTGCCTGATTCCTGATTGTAGCAAAGATGAACATAAAATATATCAAAACAATCAATATTTCTTTTTCTTCCATATGATATTGGAAAATCTTTCATGTACTTTTATTAACATTCTCTAACATCTTCAGGAGTTAAGGTTTCCCAGTCACTCTAGTGTGTTTTATGCTTTTAAAATCATTCCATATAATACAGTAACTGGGATGATATTACATACATATAACTATATATTACATACATGAGATAACCATATCCCAGTTGATAATAGAACTTATTTCATTTCTTCATTTTTATTCACATTTTTACCTGTCATCTCTTAAAGGCATAACACACAAAGCAGCACAAGAATGAAAACACACTTCCTCACTCTACAAGGCTTGTTCAGTGTGCCACTGAAAAGGAAAGTCGTAGATTCTATATAGTGTGCAATTTTTATGGTGAAGACATAAAAATTAAAATCTTGCTCTGAGTAGCAAAGGGTATTTGAACCTTTCATATTTATCAGCTGATACAAGGAGGCCTTGCATATATGGCATTGCTAACCTGTGCTACAATGTTAACCAGTGTTATAACAAACTCATTTATTTAACCCTTAATCTTTATTACACTCTTTGGCTTAACTGACTAGATTCACAAACTCAACACTAAATAACTTTATATAAAATCCTCAAATTGTCTTAAAAATAAGTTAGCTCTAAAGCAAAATTAACATGAAAAGAAAGAGGGAAAAGATAACCATATGCAACCAGATTCAGGTTTGATAATAATTCAGGTTGACTAGTCCTGGTTTTATTTTTTCAATATTTTCCTCAACACTAGTGACTAGATGCTGTCCTTTCTTGCTTGTAACTATTTTCTTTCTCTTTATAAGTTATGTTACAAATAACAAGTAATTATAAGTTCCTAATTCTAACATTATTTAAATTTTATTTTTATTTTTTATAATTAGCAATTAGAACTGAAATAATAAAGAAAATATAATGCAAATCAATAAACAAAACTTTCTTACAAAACTCTCATCTTAAATTCTTTAGAGACCTCTTCAGTTCTGAGTACCCAGGACAGAATTAATTTATGTCAAACCCATCAGATTTTTGTACTGTTCTTCTCTATTTTTATTATACACAAAGCTTGGGAAGAAAAAGAAATGCAACCAAATACATGAGACAATAAAAGCATGGACTTAAAAGTTAAAGAAGTGTTCTACAAATGCTCTAGGAGGACGAAACCCTCTTCCTTCCCATCTGAATCAACAAAGACTCCTTGGAAGAAGGGCTCAATAACAGGGGTAGGTTGGCTTTATATCTTCATATCAAGGAAGCGAAAAAACACTTCTGTGAGAATATGGTAAATCCAGGACCTCTGTCAGGGTAGAATAACTAAGCTCCATGTTCCAGAAAGTTGAAGACTTACTCTAGTTCCCTCGGCCCTCCACCATTTCCCCGAATAATCAAATGAACTAACTTTTCTTTGCTTTTGCTCCCTGGCTCTTTCATTCCTCACTGTCCTCCATCCTTCAGAAGCTAAACTTCTACACTGACCAAGTCAGCTTTCCTCCTTTCTTCTGTTTCCTTCTCTTCCACTGATCATTCCAAGCCTTCTGACAAACAGGCAAATAAAACCAACAGGAAGCCATGGCCTGCCTGTCTGTTCTTTCTGGGAAGAACCAGATCCTGTGAGTGTTTGCCCAGCTGATACCAGTTCCTCCCAGAAGGGCAGTATTATGCTCCGTCTTCTTCTCTGACCTCAGTCCCATGTTAATGCTACTGCTCTGAGAAGTTACTGATGTCTACTGAACATTCCTTTGTAACTCATCCTTTCCAACATCTGGGCAGCCCTGTTTCCACCCATTTCTTACATTCTGATCTCTCTGTTGCTTGCCTCTCTGCTTTATTTCCCTCTTTGCATCAGTTCCTTGTATAATGCTATTCTCACTCATACCTTTTTTACTTTATCCTGTAGTTTTGACTTCTAATTTTCTTTAGAACGTGTTTCCATTCACATTTCTCCTTCTGATTTCTTTCAGGAGACCCAGACTAGTGTTCATAGCTGTCTCCTACACATCTCTGAAAGTGTCTTCAAAGCCTTGTGGCAAATATAAGCTAGGGACACATTTGCTGATACTGCACTGCTGAGAAGCAGTTTGAGTTGGCCTGGAACCATATGACTAACAAAGTTTGAGGAAGTTATGCTATTCCAATTCCGGGACTTACAAGGACTCATGGCCTCTGTCCCCATCTTTTGGAGGCCAGTCACCATGACGAAGCCATCTTGAACACCCATCATCCCCAGGCAGCATCTACCCTCATCACCAATTCTGTCTCCTGAAAAGCACTGTCCTGCTTAGCTCAGGCATCATACAGACTGGGTATTTTCTTCAAGACTGGGCATGGGGTTGTTTCTTTCACAGTAGTAGATACTCATCACGGTCACAGGAACTCAGATGTTCGGAGCTCTCTGTTACTATCTGAGCTTAGTCACTAAAAGAGAAATGCTCTTCCTCCTGTTTCCAAACATTCAACAGTATCATCATAATGATGCTCCTGTGAAAACTTTGGAAATGTCTTATGGCTTCCTCTTTCAGTTGCCCGTTCCATTAGTCATTTTGTCCCAGTAATTTTTTATTTTATATTTTACTTTATTAACACAATGTTATTTTTATTTATTTTTTTACTTTTAAAACAATCTTAATTTGCATATCAATCCCAGTTCCCTCTCTCTCCTTCTTGTCCTCCCACTCCCCCGACCCAGCATCCACTCCTCATAGAGTGTGAGACTTCCCATGGGCAAACATCAAAGTCTGTCACATCTTTTGAGGCAGGACCAGGGCCCACCACCCTGTATCTAGGCTGAGCTAGGTATCCCTCCACAGGGAATGTACTCCAAGAAGCCAGTTCATGCAATAGGGATAAATACTGGTTTCACTACTAGTGGCCCCATTAACTTCCCAAGGCCCCCAACTGTCACCCAGATCAGAGAGCCTAGTTGGATTTTATGCA